TGACAATGACAATGACAATGACAATGACAATGACAATGACAATGACAATGACAATGACAATTTCTTCTATTCGGTCAATTGGTAAGCATAATAGAGTAGAATGCAAATTGTGAGAATAAATGTGAAATAAAGTCAGTAAGTTGTGTGAGTATTATTTTTGTCGTAATCCCACTTTACGTCAGTGAATATCTTTAGTGCCAATCTTCTTTTCTATTGTTTCTAGTTGGCTCCAATGACATGCCTATCCCTCTACCTCGACGACTTTAATAATACAATTTACATACATATGCATATAGTTATGTGGGTACACACTGGGAGCTTAGCCCATCGTGCAACAATTGGGGCAGACACGCATACCGACGAATTGCTGGGGGAATGCTAAAGTATTTTTAAAGAACACTCGTACAGACACATACACACACACACACACACACACACATACATACAGTCTCACACTTTTCAGTTATAAGCAGAGACATTCGCACATTCGCTCGGTGAAACATTTTCACATCTGAGAATCTGGCAGCACTCACGTTAGCCTAAGACTTGCCTAATTCGCATTGAAAATAAGGATTTGCGCCGTATTATCTAAGAGTCATTGTTACGGGCTTAGCATTTGCCAGGGCCCGGCCCGAGGCTTTAGCTGATATAGCTGTAGATGTAGCTGTAGCTGTAGCCGTATCTGTATTTGAGTTTGTGTGCGTCGCTGTACTTGAGGGCACTTCAATTTATGTGCCCCAAATATGTATTTTGCGTATTTGTGTATTCGCCATGTAGCCACAGATGGCGCTAGCAGGCCAAGGAAACAAAGGAGTCTGAAGAAAACCCGTTAATACTTAATTTGATTTGGACTTGGCTCATAAGCCAACTGCGTGCGGGCCTATGCAGTTGGCTGAAATAACATTGAGCACTGAACTTTTCGTGGCTGTTTAGTCAACCCTTCATCCAGGCGGAATCAGCTTAATCAATTGATAAGCATTTGTGACAGGTGCCAGAACAAATTCTCTAAGCTGCTGTTAACATGCAACAAATTGGCAACGGCTCTTAGCCAACTTTGGGGTTCAAGTTCGGTTTGGGGGTAGCCAAAGCCGATGATCGACTTTTGCTGGGTCACAGCCACTTAATTTACGAAGGGACGCAGTCAACTAACAAGAAGCCTCCACACTCCCCCACCTCTCAACCCTTTTGGCCAACCCAGTTGCGTGCTTGCCTTCTGGTAGAACTTGGAACTACTCGGGAAAGTGCTTTGCCATAACTGGTAATTTCCGCTCAAAATATGCTCTCGTCTGTCTGTTTACCTGTCCCCATCTCAGTCAGTGGGGGTCTAAATACATACATATACATATATATATATATGTATATGTGTGTGTGTGTGTTGGCGCATATTTAAAATTTAGAGCTTTTGTTGCGGCCACCGGGATAGCTTAGCCATGATGACTCGCCCGTGCGAATTTTGCCGGCTCGATGACTCGCTAGCTGCCAAGAGCTTACGCGCTGAATAACAAACAAGTTGTCATTGATGTGCTCAGTGCGCAGCATGTAAACAGGATCCAGAGATGATAATTTATCAGTTCGCAAAGTTCTTCCCTCTCTCACACACACTCACTGACTCTCTCTCTCACTCTCTCTTGTATCTGCTTGCGGCTGCCATAAATTGAATTTAACAGCAGATGGCTAATCTTAGGGAAATTTGTTGCTACCAATGGGCAAAGCCCTGATCAAAGGTTGCCATGGCCCAAAGTCTCTGCATTGAAAGGGTATTTGGCATCGGAATCGGAATCGGCAATAACTGTGGCACACTTTATGGCGCACCAAACGGCACTTATTTCAAATTATGAAGACGCTGCCCAACCGCACACTCACATCAATGTATTCATTGTACATAAATAATGCTTTGGCCATGTCTATAAAAGCCTGGCCATAAAAAGCGAAATCAATTCGAATAAAATGCGCTACGTAGATGCTTAAATAGACTTTAACTCGCACATAAATTTAAATGAAAATGTCTTTACAGGCTCATTGAGGCGCGTTGAGCTGTAAAATCATCGATAGTAGCTACCCTCGATGATTGCTTTCATTGAAGGCTGCAACTATCGGTATTACGGAAAGAAATGTCCTTTTGTTTATTTTCAATCTTTTCACATAAGAAATAAAAAAAAAAAACAAAAAATAATAAAAAAAAAAGAAAAATAGACTAAGAAAATTTTTCGGAAAATAATTTACAAAATATGTTGAAATTGAACAGTAAATACTTAAATAAATAAACTATTATAATTAAAAAAAAATAAAAATAAATAAATAAATAAATAATTAAAATATAAATAGATAAATCAAAATAAAAAATCCAAATTAAAATAACCAAATTATTTTGAATTAAATTTAATTTATTTAAAAATACTTTAATGGTTTTCATTTGAACAAAATTTACGATTCTTAAAATTTTTATATTTTTATTTATTTTTACAAATATATAAGATATATTGAGATTAAAAATATTTCCAAATAAGTTGAAATAGAAAATTAAATTATTAAAAAAAAAAATTAACTTTTTATCACTACTACAGATATTAAATAATTTATTAAGATTTAAATGCTTGCAATTTTCAAAAATAATTAATGCTGAGTGTTTATTTGATTTATTTAAATTTCTTTTAAACTGTCAAAAGCTTTAACAATGTGTCATATACCAGAAGAGACTATCTAAAATTTCGTGACAGTGCACTAGGCAGATTAATTCACCCACAATTGCTGCTTCCGCTATCGATTAAGTGGGCCGATATATCGACATTGCACAAACTACAACGATATATCACAATAATTAATGCCCATCGATACCAATTGCAGTGCCATCGCTGCTTTTAACAGCTCTAAATATATGAAATGCGTTTTACTTTTAGAATACATATTTTACGTTTGACTATTTAAATTAAAAGCAGAATTTAAAGCAGCTTTCATTGTGCGTCACATGAATATATTCTGCAGATTTATGACAGCAATTTATTCATAAAACTTGAACCAGAAACTCACAGCAATAATGAAATTGCATTAAATTTGTATTGAACTAAATTATAATGAAAAGTGGCAAAGGCCAATTTTGAGGACAAGACAAAACCCACATCAAAGTGACTGAGAGCACAGATTTATATACTCAGACAAAGCTCTGTGAGCGTGTGCTTGAATACAATTGTTAAGTTGGACAGGTGATTTTATTGGAACATGTCACCTTTGCGCATTTAGATAAGCTCTTAGACATTAACCCATTTCATTTCGTGTAGGAGGACGCGCCAGCAAATATTTGAACCTAGCTCATCGGATGAGGCCGGCGGCGGCGGCGGCGGCGTCAGGGCGAGAGGCAAACACCTGCTGCAACCATAATATTGAGGCCACAAGCATTGGGAATAGTCAGACGTTAAATGCTCGAGCCACACACACAGAGAGAGAGAGTGAGAGAGAGACACAGAGGGATGCACACACAGAGAGAGAGAGAAAGAGAGAGGTTTACTTGCTGTATTTACGTAGCTGCTCGATGTGGGTCATCTCATAAATTAGAGGCTGCAGTCCGCTGAGTACACTGAGTTTTTATGAAGCTTGCAGCGAAAGCACACACACACACACAGATACACAAAGATTAGCCAGCAGACACAATGAGTGCAATTCCACGTTCCATGTTACATTGCTCACATTTACAATTCAAGTAGCTGCCATCACTTAAGGTTAGCCACTCGATTGGCATAATAAAACGATATAAATATATATGTATACATATATATACATAGAAGAGCAGACAAGGACAAGGGCAAGGACTAGGGTAAGGCAGTTAGGGCCCTCTTACCTTGCGAGAACTGAATGAGCTTGCAGAGGAACTCGCCAAAGATGAAGTTGCGCAGCAGCGTGCCGACGAGTGTGACGGGCATACAGAGCACGCCCAGCAGGATGTCCGAGATGGCCAGGTTGAGCAGAAAGACGTTGGTGATGGTGCGCATGCGGCGATTCTGCACCAGGGTGAGCACCACCAGCAGATTGCCAACGACGGCGCACAGCAGAATGATGCTGTAGCAGGGTATCACCCAGATTGGCACATCGGCGATGACGCGCGATACGCTGCGATTGGTCGGCGGCGCCGTTAGCACCGTGGGCAGCACCGCCGACAGCGATGCATTGCTGTGCCCAATCGCGGCTGGTGTGGCGATCGTCGAGTCCGGCTCCACCAGCTCATTGCTGTAGATGTAGAGATCGCTGCCGTTGAAGCCGTCGCCGCTGCCGCTGCCACTGCCACTGCCGCTGCCGCTGGCGCCGTAGATCTCGTCGGCGGCATAGCTGGCATTGAGCTGCAGTGCAGCACTCGTGGCCAGCGGCGCGAGCGCAGACAACAGCTGCCGATAGTTGTAGTTGGGGCCAATCGTGAGGCTGTCTCTCACGGCACTTGCCACCGTTACACTCGGAACTCTCACTGGCGATAGCACGAGAAAAAAAAGAAACGTTGCCGAACTGAGGCAGCAGCAGTCACTTGCCACACTATGTGATGGACACAGGCCAACTGGTGAATCAGCGGTTGCCGCGCCGTGTGCCGCCGTCTCGAAGACTCCGTCGTGCACTGAATGCTGAGCACTGCCAGCAGTTCTTGGACTCCCAATTGGACCAACAGTGGCGGCAGCCAGCGCCAAACTCACCACAGGCCGGCAACATGGGCCAGCAACATGACCACTGCTTGGCAACATGTTGCCAGAGGACTTGTTGCCACTCACGCTCCCAGCGTCGCTGCGTTTGCCCACGCTTCGCCTCATTTCCTGTGCCATTCGATTCAATTTCATGCGAAACTATGGAATGCTGGCTGATAAAGAGGCTTACCGCACTCAAGTAATAATTAACTTACATAGATCTTAAGTAAAATATTCCCTTGATACTCAACTGTCTTAGAGCTTGTAAAGCTCTTTCTTACCCCAAATATGCATTCATTATCATTTCTTCATTCATTATTAAAGACGACTAAACGGAATTATTGAGCTCTTGTAGGTTAATGTGGGATAATTTCTGGTTCCAAGGTGGATTCTACTGTAGAGGACGATTTTTTAGTCGGTGCATAGCACATTTTTACCTACCTCAATCCATCATTTTCTGTTTAAATTAAGCTTAATTTAAACAGAAAATGATACTAAATCTAATCATTTTTCTAATAGAAATTATCACTCTAAGGATGTGTTTAATTGACCTAATTGACTTGACGCCAGGCCTTTTCAAATTAAGGTTCGAATTTACGCCAAAAATCTCGGGCTTTTTCCAATATTAGACCGTAATGAAGGAAGCATGGCTTATAAAGTTTTGATCTGAATTGTATATCGATGTGTTTATTGAATTAAGTCCACATAATAAGTGTTTATCGATTGCCATTATATCAAGTCTCTATCAATAGTGAATTCAGGACTTAAGTATCCATAGCCACTGAGCATGGTTAGTGCTATGGCTTAAGTATGAAGACTTCACATTTCTTAAGTCACTATCGATACTATCGATTACACAGACTATCGATAACTATCACCACAATTAACGACATCTCAGATAACTATCGTCAGTAAATAACTATGCAAAAAGCCAGACGTTTTGTCCATGACACTTCATCAATTGTGATGCCAACATACAGAATTTGAATGTCATGAATACTTATTCCTCTGAACTCTTTGTTGCCCAACACTCGAAGCCATTGAAACGGCAAATTGCCTTAAGAGCTGCAAGATAACCTCAAATAAAGCACGTATACTCATTTATACAAGCAGAAATGTCGCTGATGATCGACTACAAGATACCCGGAATTGCCACAAGGCTCACGCACACGCTGCCGTAATTTATGCGCAGAGGGGGATGGGGAGAAAATCTGTTCGCATCGCATGAATATTGTAATGTTCTTGTTTTTCTTTTCTTTTTTTTTTTTGCCGTGAAAAAGTTGTCGTACATCAGCGAGAGAGATATATGTATGTAAGTACATATATGTATATATATTTGTACAGCTTGCGGAATTAATTAAATGATTAATTGCTGCAATATTTGGCAATCAGCTGGCATTTACATAACTAAGTGAGTTGACAAAATTTGGATGCGCTCCCGGATTGGAGCGAAGTGCTGGCACGCCGAGCGACGCAATGACATTATTATAATCACTGACTCGAGCTGAAAGGGACTCTGCACATTTGTCAAGTTAATTAGCGTACCGGCGACGGCTTCCACTTGTTTACACCTTTTGCTCATTATTTAAGCGACGCGTCGCTTTGCTGACGTCCTGCCAGACTCTTTGTCATGTTTCCAGCCACTTCCTGGGGGCTGGAGGCGGGGCTGGGGCTGGCACTGGGCGCTGGGTGGTGGGTGGTGGGGCAGTGGTCAGGGTGGTGAGTGGCGCCTTTCATAAATCAAGCAACAACTTTAAACCACAAAAAGTGAGGCTCAACATTTCGCACATCATCTTGGGCCAGGCGGAAAATGTGCCTCTGCTTCTACTGGGATGACTCGACCCAGTTACCTCTCGGACTTCAAAAAAAGTTGATGTTTATTGGTTTGTTGTTTCTGCTTCTGTTTCAGTCTCATTTCTCTTTTCATACTCATTCAAGTGATGTGAAGTGAGCATATTGGTTTTGCACAATACTCGAAGGATCGTCTGCCCCTTCGATGCTATTGAAGCTGGAAACTTGTATTCTACTCGAACTAGAGAGTGCCAAGATTTTCCTGTTTCGCCCACTAGGGTGCCACACCCCTATCCAAAAATTCATTTTCCATTATCTTAGATCTCATAATTGTCAAAGCGCTAGTGATTTGGTAGCCCGAAATCAATATGGTGGATTTATCTATGCTCGTAAGGGCCGTGTTTCCACAGTTTTAGAATAAGAAGCTCAAAATTTAAGGATGTGTTGATATCATCTAAGTAATTTCATAAAAATAATCTATATATATGCTATATATGCCAATTGGTAGCTTAGTAAATCAGAAAATGCATCTCGAAGCATTTAGGTCGGTAATGAGTATTCCGCGGTCGGTAATGCCCGACTGCAACGCTCGCACATGTTTTTTGTTTGTTGTTTTCATCGCGGCGGGTAAGTGACTAATTCAATTAAATTTTGGCTGGGTCTTAAAAGGCAAAGCGTGTCCGGGCGCATAAATAATGCCGTTGCATTAATTAAACTTGGCCAAATCCGTCCGAAATTCCGGCTACACCAACTTGACCCATTTGATTGCCGTGCCAAAACGCGCACTCAATTTATTTATTCACTTTCGGCTTTCGTTTTAATTATTGTATTTGCATTTGTTGCTCTTTGACTGCTCTCTTCCTCTTTACAATTAGGCCACATCTCTGGCATCTTAACCAGGCCCACAGATCACTCACTGATGGGTCAACAATATATATTTATATGCAAATATTTCACAGCAATTGATGTATGCCCACAGATATTTCCTCGGGCAACTCTTTGATTAAGCACCGCCTCGCCTCTACCACAACCATTAGGGTATTTCGCAGTCGATCAACGCCTATGGGCTAGGAATTCCTATATTTTTTAATGCCAAATGCAAATAAAGTCGTGCTCAAGTCCATTTCACTTCGCTTAATGGCTCCCATCCAGCAGCCAATGGAGATCAGCCGATAGGCAAGCATTTTGCACATTTCAAATTAAGTTGCCGAAATTCTGTTTAATGTCCTCCATATTTCAAGCGAGCATCCGCACTCAAATGCGGCTTTCAAGGCCCAAGTTGAGTTCAGGACTTTCGAAACAATCCGCTTAGGAAATGGGAACTCTTCTTGTTGTTTTCTACAAATTTTTCTAATATTTACCTGACTAGATTTTGACTTTGACTTGATGGAGATAGAGATAGATAGAGAGATATTTATGTAACTCTTTTCTGTATGGTATATATAACATATTTCATACAAGAGGTGCAGGAAAAACACTCGAAACAGAATACTTAATATTCGTTCAGGATCCTCGAAAAATCAAGTCACTTTCAGTAAGTCTCAAGAGGGACCCCGCAGAGCTCTCCAACTTTGGAGCTATAAGGCCTTAGAAATATTTATGCTTTATCTAAGCTTGTCAGAGCAAGTACACATACTTCATTTCAAGTCGGTCATTCCTTAAAAAAGAGCGTTACCGTTATACGAGGTATTGTATTATCCGCTTTGTCATGTCTTTTTGTGAATATTTTGGAAAAGTCTTAAGCCGAGGGCCTTAGCGAGCTTTAGGCTTCAATAGGAGCGAAATGATTAACAAAGAATGGACAGTCGCATGAACGGGCGGATAGATAGCTAGAGAAACAGATAGATGGAGGGAGGAATAGATAGATGGACGAATGAACGGATAAAAGGGTGGTAGCAAAAATGGATGGAGGGATAGACTGACGGATAATGATCAAAATGAAGGACGGTGGAACGGATAGATGAACTGTAGGATAAAGTACGGATGGACGGGGGAATAGATGGATGGACGAGCGAATGTCGCATGAATGTCGATCAGATGGATGAATGGACAGAGATACCAACAAATGAATGAAAGAACGGACGAAGGAACTCAGAGATTAACAGAAGTACGACTGGATGAACAAACGAACGAACATCTGTATCATATAATTCGCACAAGCAATGGTCCAACTCTTTTCACTTCGTGCACAGAAAAATCCAAGTACCCGAGCTTTGTCAGACTATGAGCGACCTCTGCTTAAATTCAAGTACAATGCAAGCTTTGTATTGAGAGAACCATTCAGTATTTTTTTCTAGAAATACTATTCCCAATGGCCTTCAATGTGCAGCTGTAGCTGTAGGTGCTCTAACAATCCAGAATCAATGATAAAACTATTAACGAAGCTTTAATTCAACTCCGCATCCAGCTAGATTTATGTGAGCGAAAGTGCAGAATAAACAGTTTGCTTTGTGGTCAACAGTTGTGCGAGTCCAGTTGGCACACACACACACACACACACACAGACAGATAGAGACAGAGAGAGAGAGAGAGTGGGGAGCACACCCTTTTGAACATGCAATCGGATTATAATCGCAAATGCTTTAGTCGCCAGCAAGGTCAGGAGGGCGCAGCAGACTGGAGCTTCCGCAAATGGATATTAAATTATCCCGTGCTGCGCGTCCAGCTGAGGATAATGGAATAATTTTAAAGCGTGTGTAAGCGTTGCGTGGATGGTAGGTAGAGCCGGTACAGTCGGTAAAGTCGGTAGAGTCCGTAGAGCATTTCAAGCTGTTAATGTTTGATGTGCCGGGAAAGAATTCGAGCGGCTCAAGAACTATGCAGCGTGCGCATTGCCATCATAATGGGCGTAAAGTCATTAGGCATTCCATTTATAGAGCGTACAACAGGTGAGCGGCTTAGACTGGGTAAGCCCTGGTTAGTTATCAGCACAGGTGCACAGCATTCGACGGTTAAACGGTTTAGCTCAACGGGATCCAGAGTCTCGAACCCACCTGCCCCAACTGGAGCATCGAGCACGAATTTATAGCCGCAGTCTCGACGCAGCTCGTTTGCGTCCTGAATCACCTTTTGCAGTTACTGTCTGGCTTCGTTGTTCTGGGCTTTTGGTTGTGGGGCCTTAGTTTATTGACTTGAAAGAATATTCCTTCTTCTTCTTCTTCTTCTTCTTTTTTTTTTTGTTTTTTTTTGCCCTTTTATTGGGTTACAGTGGAAATTTCTTAGTGTGCTCTTCCGAGAAACTTTTATGTGAGTTTGCACTGTGATTTTGTTTGTGGCACTTTTTGCTTTTTTGTTTTTTGTATTGTTGTCTTTGTTTGAACCTGCTGGCATCAGTT